AGCCCTGAAGAAGAGCAGAACCTGGAGAGAGCCTTGGATGCACAGCTCGCCAAGCAAGGGACATGCCATGATGTGGAAGAGGCTCCTGAATCAGCCGAGAGAGAAGAGGTGGCCTGCGACCCTGAGGATGACAGTCTTAGAAGTGAAAGTGACCATCGAGGACCTTCCCAGCAGGATGTGTGCAGATGTCAGAGGCAGCTCCTCACAGAGGCCTGCAGAGCACGCTTCTGACGTCTCCACTCCCTCTCTGCTTGAGCAGCAGAAAATGTCAGAAAAACTAAACAAGCAGACTGAGGAGCAGGAGAGGCAGCTAGAGGAGCAGGAGGAAGCTCTTAGGCAGCAGAGGGTGACCGTCGGGGCCTCTATGGCCCACTTCTCAGTGTCCAATGCATTGATGTCACCTGGCAAAGTTCATAAAATGTGTTGAAATAACTATGAACTTAGATGCAGGAAGAGAACATTCTAGACATCAAAAATTGCTGCAATTTTGTGTATAATTCTTTCTTACAAAATTCCACATCTTTACAATTCTGATGGCTTAAAAAAAAAATAAAACCTAAGAATTCAATATTTCAACTTAGTTACAAAAATGGGAAGTACCTACAAAAGCAAATTTCTTTTTCAGATTGTAGAGTTATATTTTCCAATAACTTGACTTACAAATTTTAAGGGGATTTTACTGGACCTCCGAGCTGTCCCTTCTCTGACACATCAGCTGATGTCTGTGTCTCCACAAGCTGTTCTCACGGGTCTTTATCGGCTCTGCCAAAGGGGCCGAGGTGCCGCCCGGGCCAGTGTCATGTGGTGAGCTGCACGTGTCCCTGCAGTTCCAGCTGTGGGAGAACAGTGTTAGCAGCTCACTGTCTGCATGTTGAGAAATGCAAAACTTACACATGCATCTTTTGTCATAAAGAAATTTGAATTACAAATTTCAGGAAACCAAAACACATTTCTTAGTTTTGCTCAGTTTTTCTATAACACCTTATAAATCTTCTTCAAAAAAATTATTAAAAACATCAGTCCTAGTAGAAATTGCTACATTGTAAATAGCAATTTATCGAAAAGTGTTTAGATTTTACCAGCCTAAAGGAACTGAGAAAGTAAACCAATTGGATGCACTTTTAGGGGTTTGACTAATCAGGAACGTTTGTCGATCTTACCATCTGAGCAGTTCTTCTGTTATCCCAGGACAAGTGCACTCAGCTCTAGACTGTTGTATTTGTCAGGTGGTAAATTTAAAAGTCTGTCATTGATAATGGAGCAATAAAGTCTGAGATGGAAAATAGTGATTATTAGCTAAAGAACTACAAACTAAATAGAAAGCTTTTCACTGTGAAGTACAGGATACTGCCTGTTGTATTTTTCAAGTCCTGAAGTGTGAAATAGAGAAAACCTGGCTAATTTATTTGACTGTTCAAATACATGTTGATAATTTTTTATATTTTCATAAACTTTTTCAGGTGTAAAATTAGAGAATGTCACATGTTCTTTTGGAGTCTATTGTATTACACATCACTACAGATTTTCACTTTACAGCACAAATTTTTTTTTTTTTTTTTTTGTCCTTTTTGAGACCAGCCGCACCGCGATCAGCCAGTGAGCGCTGTGAGCGCACCGGTCATCCCTACATAGGATCTGAACCCGCGGCAGGAGCGCTGCTGCGCTCCCAGCACCGCACTCTCCCAAGTGCTCCATGGGCTCGGCCCACAAATTTTTAAGTTAAGGAAATATGGAGAACTTATCTACTTGGGGTGTTTGTGTTATAAACCAAGTGTCACTAGGTTAAATTACCTTAAAGTAGGTGTCACTCCCAATATTTCATATGTTGTGAAGGGTTTTTTATTTGTCTAATTTAAATATACAAATGTAAAAATGAAGTTTGTTTCTTTAGGTTTTGTTGATAGAAATTTCTGTAAGTTGTATTTATATTGCAGAGTATTTATCACTGTACATTGGGCTGTCAGGTTCTGTTATTTGAAGTAGAAGAAATATCTACAAAGTGTTTTGTCTCATACATCTTCACTCAGCATTTTTTTTCCCCTAACACTGGGCAGTTGGAGGTTGGACAAGGGCACCTGGTCCCCCAGCTTCTGTTGCCCTCGGCCCCTTCCTGCACTTGGGGGATGAGCCTAGTCATGGCTGGACACCCGGGTTCCCACATTCTTCATCACTCTGCAGGTGTCACACACCCCTGCTGGGGACACCTAGGAGCCTCCCTCCCAGGGAACCACAGAGTGTGATGAAGGGGGAAACGTGGTCACAGTGTAACAGTGAGGAGGTGCAGGGAGGGGCTGAGTATGTGGCTCCTGGGCAGGAGTTTGCCCCCAAATCCCAGCCCGTTGAGATTCAAAGGAGCATCCAGCTGCCATTCAGGCATCTTAGGAAGTGACTGGGCAGAGTTGGTGGCCCAAACCCAGTACTTGCAGGTGGAAGGGAGATGGCTGTGCGTGGCCACCACAGGGGGGAGCATGCAGGTGTGGGTCTGGCCCACCTTCCATATGACAGATTGATCTGGTCACCCTTGGGCCAGCAATTAGCTTTTCAACAAGTGCGTCTGTCCACAACTCAGCCATGAGCATAGACACTGAGGGGATGTTCTGAACAAAGCCTTGACCAGCCCAGGCAGGACAGGCCTTGTGTGGCAGAGTGTTCAGTGGGGCTGGTGTCTCGTTTCCCAGCCAAGCTCATGCAGACCAGGCAGACCTGAGGCAAGTGTAACAAGGGAGGGGACTTCATAAGGGGACCACTCTGGCCACCTCTGCTGGCCACACAGCCCCCACTGCCTTCAGACTGCTGTCACAGCTATCCACAGTGTCTCAACAATGGCCCCATCACCTCAAGGGCCTTGTCAAGCTGAGTGGTGGCACGTGTGCAGGTGTCCCTCATGGAAGACTGCTCTGAAGCGAGCTCCTGGTAGCTGACAGTGACGAAAGTGGAGCTGGTTTGGTCGGGTCCCCTCGCCTCATATCCAGCTGGGTGTGACTCAGCACATCCTTTGTAAACAAGTGACGTTAGAGTTAGTGCGCATGTGCCCGGGCACCCCTTGGCTCATTGCTGCTGTTGTGTACTTCAGTATGGAAGGCAGCGGCTCTGAACTGCTGGTCGGGGGAGCTCGTGTCTGAAGAATAAAGCATGTCCACTTTGCTGGCAGCTGCTCGGTTTTTCTTTCCCTTACCTGAGTCGGGACCTGCACAGGACGAGGCAGAGGGGTCTGTGATCCGGCCTGACAGTGACACTTTGCCAAAGAGTGGAAGTTCCAATTCCACTGCACAAACACTAAGGGGTGCTTGGCACAGCACCTGGCTCCACAGTGGTGAGCCCTATGTGGCCTGCAGGTTGCCATCAGGGTGGCTTCCCAAATGCCTGGGAAAATATGCCCCCACTTGAAAGCCCCTGGGCCTTGCGGGCCTCAGATGTTTGTCTGGTCTCATTCTCGGTCACCCCAAAGCCCTGTTGAAACCCTCCTGCTGCATCAGGCAGCTCTGCCATGCTCCTTCCACTGCTCAAGCACCTGTCCACCCCGACATCACCTCTAGGACCAGCTGTAATGGCTCCAGCCCATGGTTCCATTTGGCTGATGTCACCCACAACACTTGTGCACTGTGCCATGCATGGCTCTCTAGAAAACTGACAGGTGAGCAGTCCAGCCCCAACCTATTCCTAGACAAGGGCACAGCCATGTCCACCTCACAGGGCAGAGAAATGCCCGGGCCAGAGATCCCGGGCTGCCAGTGCACAGGGGCCACCTTGGTGTGGCTCCTAGTCCTGGCACATCTGCTGAGGCAGCTGTCAGAAAGTGGAAAAAGCCATCTCTCTAGAAAACTCGAAGGTGTTGGGGCCTCCAGTGGAGGGTAACACCCAAAGGGAATGGGTAACCCCTGCCCCTCCATGCCACACCAGGCCGTTGGCCACACTGAACTCCATGGCATCAGCAACGGTGGCAGCAGTGGGGCCCTTAGCTGTGGCTGTGCCCTGGGAGAGGCCTGACCAGGAGGAAAGAAAAGGAAAGGCAGGAGCCACGTGGGTTCAAACAGACAGGACCTCATGCACTCAGTGGCAGGGCAGGGTAGGGCCAGGGCACTCGACTGGTAGCCACTGGGTCCT